AAATTTTTTTTTTTAATTTTTTTTTTTTGTGTTTTTTTTTTTTTTTTTTTTTTTTTTTAATTTGACCACAGAGAACAGGAAAGTGAGAAAGCAAGCCACCAGGTCTTAGACTCGAACCATGGTCAGCCATGTGAGAGTCCAGTGCTTAACCACCACACCATCTGCCAATCCCAAAGGAATACTTAAAAACCTATATGTTTTGATTTCAGGTTTTGAGAATATGGAATAATGAAGATGTAAACCTAGATAAAGTATTTAAAGCTACAGTAAGTTTTTGCATTTTCCTACATAATTATTTAACTTTTGGTGAAATAGGATCATTCATAACATAGTATACGCCGCTTATCTTTATGCTTCTGGAGAAATGAGTGTAAGTTATCAGGTTTTCATTCTATCTTGGTAACATTGTCTTAATTCATGACTTAATAGGCTAGAAAATGTACACCCTATCCTACCAGGAGATCGAGGCCATGCATAATTCACGAATAATCAATTGATACTTGTTCCCATGAGTTTAGATGTCTGGGGTGTGTGGCCTGTGAAAACAAGTGAACTTCCTCCGCCCTTTCTTACAACAGGTAGAATAGATCCTGTAAGTTCCATATATTGTACATTTTAAGAACTGTATAATAATTTACATAATCTAAAGTATGTACATTTTTTTGAAGTTTATTTTATCTCGTTAGAGCGAGAGAGAAATGGAAACACAGAGAAAGGTACCTTCACCCAGGTCTTATGTCATGATTCCCCCAGCCCTATCCCAGCCTGGTGGAATCACGGGTGCTCGCATAGTCGTGCCTAGTGTGTTCAGGTTGACCTGGGATTTGAACTCTGGGCCTTCCAATATGTCTGCAATATTCTGCAGCAGCACCCTAACACCTGCACCAGCAGGTGAGCCTAACGTCTGTTACTTCTAACGGGATCTTAAGCAAGGTTAATCCCGAAATTCTAAATGTTCTGATTGTAAGTGTAATTGGCATACTTAAAGTGCTCACAGTAGGGCTAGTGTAGACAGAAGGCAGTTGTTGCCTAGACTCTCAGAACTTCCAGCCAGCTTGCTGTGTTGTCCCCTGGCTTTGGTCTTCATTTACCTTGCAATAATACAAGTCTGTACTTTACACAGTGGAATCCCCCCCATAATAATGTTAAGTTCTTTTCTTGGAATTACAGGCTGAAGTTACAGCCGTAGCATCAGTCTTTTCCTAATACACAAACTGCATGTAACTAACTGCATTAGCAGCTTTATCTGTCCCTGTTCGTACCTGCAGTTTTAGGAGACCCAGGTTCCAGCCTAAGCTAGTATTCACAATAGATACACTAGAAATTAATCAAAATAGTTACCTGATCAGAGAACAGGGTAGGGAGGATGAGATAAGGAGTTATATTTCTGAGTGTATTTTGTATTATGGATTTGATTTAGAACCACACAGAATTAAATTTAAATGAATTTAGTTTCTTAAAATTATAAAATTAAATTAAATCTAGTTTAAAAAAAAAACAGTTTCTTTAAAATAAGCCTTCTAGGCCATCCACAGCGGTGCAGTGTGATGCAGCACTTAATGATTACGAAGCACATGGAAAGGTCCCAAGTTCACGGCTGTAGTTCTCCCTGCACATACCAGGCGGGAGAACCTGTGATCCTGGCTGGCTGGAACTGGGGCTCATAGGGCCTCTGTAAATGTCCTTATCCTGTATTTTAGATGCAAATTGTTTTTCCGTAACAATGCAAATGTTGTTCCGTTCATCTAGTTATCGGCGGAGGTATATAGGATACTTTCGATACAAGGGACAGAGCCCGTGGTGCTGTTCAAGGAAGGTGCTGTTCGTAGTTTAGAGGCCTTGCTTGCAGAACCCCAGCAGAAAATTGAAACCGTTATCTCCGATGAAGAAGTAATTAAGTAAGTTCCAATACTTGGTAAATGATTTTTTCCCAAAATACTATATACTGCTTTTCTTTTCTTTTCTTTTTTTTTTTTTTTTTTAAGTTTTGCTATCGGGTACATGTACACTCCAGAAGGAGACAGAGAAAGAAAGCAAGAAATCACCCCCCATGGGGATGGGCTTCTCCTGTGTTCTGCTGTCAGGATTTTGGACATGTATGCCCATGAGCCCAGTATGTATTTCAAATCACCCGAAATGGAACTTGGACCATATGACTGGCCATATGGAATCCAGCTACCTTAGCCACCATGCCATTGGCTGGCCCTATACATTTTTTAAAATTTGCCTTTGGGCAAATGTACTCACCGGGGAGAGAGACTGAGAAGAGAGAGAAAGCACTCTTCAATGGGGCATGTTCATGCCGTAATCCCTTCTCTTCCATTTCTCCATCTTGTTGGGATTTGAGGCACACATGCATACACACCTAGTTTTTTTTTTCTTTTTTCTTTTAAGACAGATGTTTGTTGCTCTATGGGCACATATGTTCAGCAGAGAGAGAGAAAGTGGGAAATCATCCCTCCGAGGTGATGGCCATGCCACAGTTCCTTCTCCTCCATTCTCTTCTTGGGATCTTGGACACGCACACACATACGCCTGGTGTGAGTTTTTGGGTTTTTTATTTTTTTTTTAAAGAAATTTTTCCGGTATGGGCACATGCAGTCACTGGAGAGACAGAGAGAGACAGAACGAAAGAAAGCATCCCCGGGGGTGACCTCACCACAGTCCCTTCCTCTTTATTCACCTCTTGGGACCTTAGGCACACACAGATAAATGCCCAGTATGAGTTTTAAGTCACTGGGTCTGGGACTCAGACCTTGGTCAACCATGTGGGAGTCCAGCAACATAACCATTACACCTTATGGTTTCCTGGCGTGAGGGTTTTTTTTTTAATATCTTTTTTAAAAATTATTTTATTTTTCTTTCTTTCTTTTTTTCTTTCTTTATTTAAATTTGACCAGAGAGGGACAGAGCCAGGAGGGGGTAGAAAGCTGCCAGATCCAGGACTCAAACTGCTGTTGGCCGTGTGGGGGTCCAGCCCCTTTAATCACAATGCCACCTGCTGGTCCCCGCCTGGCGTTGAGTTTTAAGCCGCTGGGTCTGGGACTTGAACCACGGTCAGCTATGTGGGAGTCCAGCAATGTAACCATTATGCTATCTGCTTGTCCACCTAGTGTGTGTGTGTGTGTGTGTGTGTGTTTAATATTTATTATTATTTAATTTTATTTGTTGTCGTTATTATTTTATTATTTTTTAACTTTATTTATTTTTAATTTGACCAAATAGGGACAGAGAGAGAGAGAGAGAGATGGAAAGTGAGAAAGCAACTCGCCAGGTCCAGGACTTGAACTGCAGTCAACCATGTGGGAGTCCAGTGCCCTCAACCACCACGCCACCTGCCAGCTGTATTGTAATTGTTTTATTTGACCAGGGAAAGACAGAGGAAGAGAAAGTGAGAAACAAACCACCAGGTCTTATACTCAAACCATGGTCAGCCATGTGGGAATTCAGCACCTTAACCACCATGCCGCTTGCCAACCCCAACCCCTAGTGTGCTTTTTTAAAGAATTATTTTAGGGGCCAACAGGTGACATGGCAGTTTGCTTTGTCTGTCTCTCGCTCGTGCTCTCTCTCTCTCAATCTGTCCCTCTCTGGTCAGATTAAAATAAAGTTGTTTAAGCAAGCCACGGGTTCGGGACTCAAACTACAGTTGGCGATGTGGGAGTCCAGTGCCCTTAACCACCATGCCACCTGCCAGCCCCCCAGTGTGTCTTTTAAGCTGCCAGGGCCAGAATTCAAATTGTGGTTGGGTATCTGGTGGTATCTGGCTCTGTTAACCACTAGGCAACATTGCAAGGTCTGTACTTTTTTTTTTTTAATAAACTTGTACTTTTTAAAAATTTATTTTATTTACTTTTATTTTTGATTTTCATCCTTTTCAGTTTGATCAGAGAGAGAGAGGGAAAGTAAGAAAGCAAACCATCAGGTCCAGGACATGAACTGTTGGTTGGCCATGTGGGTAGTCCAATGCCTTTAACCACTATGCCACCTACCAGTCCCATAAACTTGTATTTTAATTGCATTTTCCCATAAACTTTGTTGTTGTTTTTTGTTTGTTTGTTTGTTTTGGAGAGGTTTTTGCTACAGGGTACATGCATTTGCCAGACAGATGGAGAGAGACAGACAGAAAGCGAGAAATCATCCCCCCCCGGGGGGGGGGGGTTACCACGCCGCAATCCCTTCTCCGTTCTCCTCTTGGGATTTTGGGCATGCACGCACATGCACCCGGCATGAGTTTTAAGCCACCAGGTCCAGGACACAAACTGCGGTTGACTACATGGGAGTCCAGCAACATAGCCATTACGCTAACTGCTGGTCCCTGTTGTTGTTTTTTTTAATGATTTTACTTAAGAGTGAGAAAATAAGCCACCGAGTCCAAATCTCAAACCACAGTTAGCCACGTGAGAGTCCAGCACTTTAACCACCACACCACCTGCCAGCCCTAACCTTTTATTATTGCTGTTTTCAAAAATATTTTGAATATTATAAATATTTTAAATATATCAGCAGGTAGCAAAGAGGTTAAGGTGCTGGATCCCACATAGCCAAGTTCATAATTCGAGTCTCAGATCTGGTGACTTGAAAATCACACCAGGCATGTGTGCGTGCATGTCTAAAATCCTGAATGGGCACTGGAGTAGGATTACAATGTGGCTATTCCTCTGGGGAATGATTTCTCGCTTTCTCTCGTTCTCCCTTTCTCTGTCTCTGGCAAATGCACATTCCCCATAGCAAAAAAAATAATAATAATAATTAATATAAACATAATTAAAGTAACTTAAAAACCATTTATGGAGCCAGAAGGTGGCGTGGCGATTAAGGCACTAGGCTCCCACATGGCCGGTCATGGTTTGAGTCCTGGATCCAGCAGCTGGGAAATCATGCTGGGTGTGTGTGCGTGTGTGCTCTAAATCCTGAGAGGAGAATGGAGGAGAAGAGATTGCGTGCAGAGTGGCCATTCATTCTGATTTCTCACTTTCCCTCTCTAGCTACCACATGCACCCTATGGCGAAACCTTAAAAAAAAAAAAATTAAGACATTGACTGAAATAACATCCCAGAAAACTTCGCAGCTGATTGAGGAAGCCCATAGTCATTTAAGTTCTGTTCTGTGACAGAGAACTGGACAGTCAGTTATTTGAAGATGAAATGGGTTATACCCGAAGACCAAGATCTTGTTCCTGGCGTATGACCCTGACTGCCAAGCTTGCAGCCTTTTCCCTGGAGAAGAGAGTTGTTTATTGTTAGCCGAATATGACAATGCTTTAAGGCCTCTGCTTTCCCAGATTTGGGGGGAAGATCTGAAAAAATGGCTTCCCCAAGTGATAGAAGGACATTTCATGATTTCATGATTCTCTTACCCTCGTTCTGTCATCACATTTTCTGTCCAGTTGACTTGCTTCCTCCCCAGGTCCACCTGTTAGGAACTGAATGTCTTTTTTCTTTCTTTTTTTAAAAATTATTTTACTTAGGTTTATTTATTTTATTTGACCAGAGAGGGACAGAGAGAGAGGAGAGAGGAAAGTGAGAAATCAAGCCACCAGGTACTTGAACCGTGGTTGGCCATGTGGGAGTCCAGTGCCCCTAACCACCATGCCAGCTGCCAGCCCCAGGAACTGAATTTCTGAAAGTCAAAGCATAGACGTGTCTTAGTGAGCAGGCAGTGTGGACCGTGAGCAGTCGTGCCTTCAGCTGTCCTAATGAATGCCTCTATGGTGTGAGCAACTGTTCGGGTGATGTCTTTAGAGGACCTGGGTCCTAATCACCACTCTACCACAAACCAGCTGTGCAGTCTGGGTTACAAGCACTTTAACAGCACCCTCCCACCACGTGCCTTGGTGTCCTTTAACACTTGAAGAAAGCAGATGAGATCCTGATGTTTTCTTCAGAATGCTAATCCCAGAAAGTCACTGAAGAAGAGGGGTCAGGGCGGTCAGTTCCTAGTGCACTGGGGAGCACTATATAGTGCTCCTCCCTCTTGGAACTGGACAGTTAACATATTGTCTGAGACGTTGAACGCCAGCATTTAATCTGGAGACGCATTTGACAGAGGAATGCCTACTAATCCCTTGGTTTTGAAACACCAAATTAGGTGTTTTCTGATTTCTCTGCTTCCAAAAAAATACCTGTTTAATAAAATATTTTCATGAGGCCTGTCCCAGGCCCAGTGACTTGAAAATCATGCCAGGTGAGGGCCAGCAGACGGCGTAATGCTTATGTTGCTAAACTCCCGCATAGTCAACCATGATTCGCCCCTGGCTCCGGCGACTTAAAACTCAGGCTGGGCATGTGTGCGTGTATGCCCGAAATCCTGAGAGGAGAGTGAAGGAGAAGGGATTGTATTGTGGCCATCTCCCCAGGGAATGGTTTCTCACTTTCTATCTCTGTCTGTCTCTGGAGAGTGCACACGTATACCCTATAACAAAAGTGTCTCTCAAAAACAAAAAAAGAGAAGGCAGTGACGCCATGTGCATGTGCATGTATGCCCACAATACCGAGAGGACAAGGGATTGTGTTCTGCCCCGCCCCCCGCCCCGGGGGGATTTCTCACTTTCCCTTTCTGTCTTGAGTGTCTCTCTCCAGTGAGTGCACACGCCCTACAGCAAAAATCTACAAAATAAAAACTGTTGTAAGTTTCAACTGATGTTTCTCTCATATGGTGACATTTGTATTTATTTATCTTTTTAGGTGGACCAAGTTTTTCATGGTATTTAGGCATCCTCTTTTAATTTTTATTACAGAAAAAGTAAGTATTGTTTTCAATTCCTGGGCCATTTTGTGAAATTTCAAAGCTTTTAAATATTTTAATCTTACTTAAACACAAGAAAATCTGTTAATTACAGTTATTTCCATGCCTAAATGAAACGCATTTTTATAACATTTTAAATTTAATTAGACAAGTGGGTCTTAAGTACTCATTGAAGTAATTGGAATAGGGTGACAATATACATAAGGATGGTTGCCTGAAATGGAATTTCTTTAAATAAAAATATCCTTTCTTGCAGCATGGAAATTATTTTGCTTATGTACAAATGTTTAACTCCCGTATCTTAAGCAAATACACACTCTTACTTGGACAAGAAGAAAAATCGATTGTACAGAGTTTTACTGCATCTGCGGATCGGAAATTCATCTCTTTGATGTCATTAAGTAAGTTTTTTGCTTTAAACTTTTAAGAGATTTTTTTTTTTTTTTTGAGAGGTTTTTTTTCGCTGTAGGGTGCATGCACTCGCCAGACAGAGAAAGAGAGACAGAAAGACAGAAAGCGAGAAATCACCCCCCGGGGGGGGTGGCCACGTCGCAATCCCTTCTCCATTCTCTTCTCAGGATCTTGGGCACACATGGACACGCGCCTGGCATGAGTTTTAAGCCACCGGGTCCGGGACACGAACCGCGGTTGACTACATGGGAGTCCAGCAACATAGCCATTACGCTAACTGCTGGTCCCAAAACTTTAAGAGATTTTAAGATTGTAAATAGAGGGGACCAGCACATGGCATGGTGGTTAAGGCTCTGGACACTTCCACATGGATGACCATGGTTCGATGCCTGGACCTGGTGGCTTGCTTTCTCACTTATACTCTCTCTTTGTGTCTCTCTCTGGTCAAATTAAAATAAATAAATGAGTAGGGACTAGTAGTTATCATAATGGCTATGTCGTTGGACTCCCATGTAGTCAACCACGGTTCGAGTCCCGGACCCAGTGGCTTAAACTCAACGTCAGGCGCGTGTGCATGCATGCCCAAGATCCAGAGGAGAATGGAAAAGAATGGATTGTTGTATGGCCATCTCCCCAGGGGGTGATTTCTCGCTTTCTGTCTCTCTGTCTCTCTGTCTTTCTGGCGAGCACATCCGCCCCATAGCAAAAAACCTCTTCCAAAAAAAGTTAAATAAATAAATAAAAATTTAAAAAAATGAATGAGTAAATAAAGATTAAAAAAAGATTGTAAATAGAGGGATTTTTATTTTTATAGGGTAGCTGTTTTATCTTGGGCTTTTTCCAGTTTTCTGATACAGCCTTTCTCTCTCACTGCCACTTACAGGGATCCGTGCCTTCACTTTCTGCACCCCACCACTCATGGCTGTACCCTGGGTCAGTGGTGCCTGTTCTCAGAGGCTGTTGAAGTGCTTCAGCAGTACACAATTTTACATCATTGTCTCTATAACTTATGTCTTTAATTTACTATATGCAACAGATAATATAATACAATAAAAAGAGGAAAACCAACTTTTTTCCTTATCATGATAAAGCCCAACTTCTTTGATAGTATTGTTAGTGAACCATAGATATCCATGGTTGACACCATCTGGCCCCTCTATTCCTTTTGCCCAACTATTACTTCTTTTATTTGCTATTGTTGTTTTTATTTGACTGGAGAGAGGAAAAGAAAGTGAAAAAGCGGGATGCTGGGTCTCTGACTTGAACTGTGATTGGCCATATGGAGGTCCAGTGCCGTAACCACCACACCACCTGCTAGTCTCAATCATTTCTTTCTTCCTCTCTCTCTTCCTTTCTTTCTTTCATTTATTTATTTTAATTTGAACAGTGAGGTACAGAGTACGGGAAGGAAAGAGAGAGGGAAAATGAGAAAGCAAGCCACCAGCTCCAGGACTTGAGGTGCAGTCAGCCATGTGGGCCCTTAGCCCCCACACCTGCCGGCCCCACACTGTCATTACTTTGATGTGCTCTTCTTTAGACAATGACTGAGACACATGAGCAGAGGGAGACTAACAGCAGATTTAGCCCATGCCACTTTTTTTTTAATTTCTACTGGTCTCAAGTTCTTGAGAAAGCCCTCCCTGCCTCAGTGAGGTGTGGTTGTGTTCGGAATGTGTTTTTAGGATGGAGGCCATGTTTGAACTGTAGTCTATCATGTGGGATCTGGCTTTGTGTGTACACAGGGCTTAGTTGTGCTAAGGGGTCGGCCCTGTGCCACCTTCTTCCGGATGTTTTATTGCCTTGGAGTCTTAACTGTGTTACGTTTCAAAGTATAATCCCAGTCTTAACCCTCTAAATTAAACACCAAAAGGGGAGGCTTCGTGGGGGAAATCTCCCTCAGTCTTTTATGACTTGTTCTGAAGTCATTTTGAAAAGATTTGGGGAGGGGGCAATACACAGAATTTAGGAAACATTTCCATATTGTTGCAAATAAAAACGTTGGAGAAGTTTTCCTAATGTGTAGATATTTGCAACAGCTATTGAGAAAAAAGCTCTTGGGCCAGCCAGTGGCCTTATGGTTAGGGCAGCTGGATCTCATGTAGCTGACTTCATGGTTGAGTCTTGGACCCAGCAACTTGGAAAACATGCCAGGCAGGTGTGCATGTGTGCCCAGAATCCTAAGAGGAGAGGGAATTGTGGAGTGGCCATCCCCCTTGCAGAGTGGTTTCTTACTTTCCTTCCATCTGACTCTCTGCACTGAGTACATGCACCCTGTAGCAAAGTAATGAAAAAAAGAAGGGAAGGAGCCCAGCAGGTGGTTAAGGCACTGGGCACTCCCATATGGCCAACCATGGTTCAAATCCCAGACCTGGTGGCTTGCTTTCTTACTTTACACCTCCCTCCCTCCCGACCATGGTTGAAGTCCTGGACCTGGCGGCTTCTCACTCTCCTTCTCTCTTTTACTTTGTCCCTCTCTGGTTTTATTTTTATAACACACACATACACACACACACATGTATATATGTAAAGTGTGTGTGTGTGAAGTCAAATAAAATAATTCTTTTTAAAAAATTTTAGCTTAATGGGCATTGAAATTAGGAAGTCTGAACAAAGAGTCATATAAATCTTTATGTAGGGGCTAGCAGGTGGTGTGGTGGTTAAAGTGTTGAATTCCCACTGCAGTTCGAGTCCCAGGCCAGGTGGCTTGCTTTCTCATTTTCTCTCTGTCTCTCTCTCTCTATCTCTGATGAGTGCACGTGCCTTATAACATTTTTTTAAAATAATTATTTTACTGTATTTTTCATCATTATTATTTTCTTATTCACCAGAGAGAGAGAGAGGGAGAGTGAGAAAGCAAGCTGCCAAATCAAGAACTCAAACAGCAGTCTGTCATATAGGAATCTAGTACCTTAACCACTACACCACCTGCCAGCTCCAGCCCTATAGCAAAATAATAGTAATAACAATAATAATATCAGTAAATAAAATAAATAATTCTTTAAAAACAAAATCTTGGGGCCAGCAGGTGACGTGGTGGTTAATAGCACCAGCCTCCCACATGACCAAGCACGGTTCAAGTCCCGAACCTGGCAGCCTGCTTTCTCACATTCTCTCTCTGTCCCTCTCTGATCAAATTAAAATAAATGAATAAATAAATACAAAGTTAAATAAAATAATTGTTTCTTTTTTTAAGAATTATTTTATTTTTTGTTCATTTATTTATTTTATTATTTTTTTATTTTGACCAGAGAGGGACAGAGTGAGAGAGAAGAAGAGAGAGGGAAAGTGAGAGAGCAAGCCTCCAGATCCAGGACTTGAACCGTGGTTGGCCATGTTGGAGTCCAGCATCCTTAACCACCATGCCACCTGCTGGACCCAAAATAATTATTTCTTTAAAAATCAATCTTTGTAACATATCCAGCAACACATGAAATTTACAAAATTGAACTGATTAAAAAAAAAAGTCAGTAATTTCATGTACTTTCAGAGTGATTAAGTAACAAGAAACCTAATGTTTAGGCCAGATGCTAATTCATTTCTAAGGACAGTACTTTTTTTAGTAACTAAATTATCTATATTCCTTCCAGTTCCTCTCAGTATTTTCATTTACTACAGGTATCTGTAGTTTTTGTTTGTTGGCTATTATGACATTTCTTACTGGGATTTTTATTAATAAGACTTTCCCCATTTTAAGCTTCTGGTATATTTTTCTAAAGGAAAGCAAAAAGTGGTTGTTTATTACTCTGGTTCGATTCTTTATCAGATTGGTAAAATCTTATAAATAGTCTAATACATTTAACTGGAATAGACATATAACTCTCCTTACCCAGTAATGAACAATACGTTTTTGTTTCCGACAGGTTCTGACGGATGTGTCTATGAAAGCCTGATCCCTGTGCATCCAAGTGATGCTGAAGAAAATCAGAGGGTAGTTAGATCAGTGTTGCTCAAGACTGTTGTGTCTGGCAGTGCTCGAAATGGTGTTGCCCTTACTGTCTTGGATCAAGATCATGTGGCAGTCCTGGGACCTTCGATGTCAACTTCTAAGGGTAACAGAAATCTAGTCAATTAACACGTTTTTTGCGTTTTCCCTCCAATCTTCTAATCTTCTCTTTCTTTTTAAATTATTTATTACCATCTTAATTTGTTTCCTTTATCACCATACTTGAATTACTTCTGTAGCTTTCTAATTTTTCTTGAATAGGTCTTTGATTTCAAAACACCTTCTCATGGGGACCAGCAGGTGGCTTGAATAACATACCAGGTGCGTGTGCATTTGTGCCCAAAATCCTTAGGGGAGAATGAAGAAGGGATTGTAGCCATCCCGCTGGGAGTCAGCTTCTCACTTTCCCTCCCTCTGGCGAGCCCTCATGTCCTATGACAAAACCTTACACACACAAATCAAACTAACTGACTAACTTCCTCCTATCACTGCATTGTTGATGACTATAATGCCATGAAGAGATAGAAATGGTAAATACTCATGTACCAGCTATAGGTCCTCAGAACGTTGATAAGCCTGTGGTAGAAGACTGACTGCGCGACAGCATTTCACAGCATAGAAACCCACAGGGCGTGGACAGCTTCAAAGGCGGGGACTGCTGGATGCTTTGGGTCTCTGCAACATCCGAGCAGGGTTCTCGTTTTCGCCTCACCTCCTCACCCACCAATCCCAGTCCCCCAGATCAAGACTTAGTCCATCGTGAAGAACATGATTCTCCTTGCCAGTGCAAGGTTGGACACTTCCAGCCTGTGCTGTAAACCTCAGGACCTGCTGTTTACCGTTCTCCTCTCGATGGTTTAGAACCACCTTTGCTAACCTCTTGTTTCTGAACAAGAACCCCCTGCTTTATCCAAACCAGACTCCCTATTGACTACTAATTTAAAGTGCTCTCCCTCACCTGCGTACTCTGTCCTTACACTTCTGCGTATGAAGATAGGAGCTGGGGCTGCAGGTGGCGTGGTGTTTAAGGTGCTAGACTCCCGCATGGCTGACCCTGGTTTGAATCTTAGACCTGGTGGCTTGCTCTCTCCCTTCTCTCATCAAATTAAAAAATAATAATAACAATAAAATTAAATAAATAAATATTTTAAAAAGAGAGAGAGACTTTTAAAAAAAGAGCTACTGGGACCAAAAGGTGGCATAATGGCTATGTCGCCAGACTCCCATGTAGTCAACTGTGGTTTGAGTCCTAGACTCGGCAGCTTAAAACTCACACTGGGCATGTGTGCGTGTGTGCCCAAGATCCTAAGAGGAGACTGGAGGGGACGGCACATGCACTCTATAGCAAAATTCTCTCTCTTTAAAAAAAAGGCACTACTGCTTACTGCAAAACTACCATGTGTAACACCACAATACTTCCATTGTGTTGTTATTTGTATGGTTTTTCTTTCTTAAGTTTATTTCTTGAGAGAGAGAAAAACAGGCACCCTCATCAAGGTCTCGTCATGCCACGATCCCTCCTCCCGTGTCCCCTAGTCTCTGGCCAGCATGTTTCAGGTCTGTCCTAGGTCCCAGCCACAGTCTGTGTCAGCAGCATTGCAGGCCAGCGCCCTTTGCCTGTGCACGATGGCCGTGTCTTCACTCTCCCAGCCGCCCTGTAAGAGAAGGATCAGGGAACTGAGTATGATGTTATAACTAAGTAGCAGAATAGGATCCGCCTAAGCAGTTCAATGCTGTGAGGCCATGTACTCCACTATTAAATCCTGAGGGTCTTTTTGTTTTTGTTTTTCCTGTTTTGTTGTTTTTTTTGATGTTTATTTGTTTGTTTGTTTGTTTGTTTTCGAGGGAGAGATTTTTGCTATAGGGTTTGTGCGCTTGCTGGAGAGACAGAAAGTGGGAAATCACACACACACACACACCCCAGGGGGAATGGCCACGCCTCAATCCCTTCTCCATTCTCCTCTCAGTGTCTTAGGCACACACGCACATGCACCTGGCATGAGTTTTAAGCCACCAGACCTGAGACTGAAACCACGATGGGCAGTGTGGGAGTCCAGCAACGTAACTATAAAGCCATCTGCTGGTCCCATTGCTTTTGTTTTTTAAGTGCACTTACTCATTTCTCCCACATGAAGGAGAGGCATAGCAACAGCATCCTCAACAGGGTCGTTATACTAAGATCCACACGCAGTCTTAGCCTCAGTCATGGGCACGCATCCACGCTCCATCTCTGACAGCCCAGATCATGGGCACGCACCCACCCTCCATCTCCTCAGTCCATATTGTGGACACGTGCCCACACTCTGTCTCCGTCAGCCCAGATGGTGGGCATGCGTGCATGCTCCGTCTCCATCAACCTAGATCATGGGCACATGCCCGCCCTTCGTCTCTGTCAGCCGAAATCCACTCGCAGTCATGGGCGTGCATCCACGCTCCGTCTCCATCAGCCCAGATCATGGGCACACGCCCGCCCTCCGTCTCCGTCAGCCCAGATCGTGGGCACGCACCCGCCCTCCGTCTCCGTCAGCCGAGATTGTGGGCATGCATGCCCATGAACCCAGGACTTTTCCCATGTGGGTCTAGTCACGATACTGCTACCCTCACCCACAACCTGGCCCCAAGTCCTGGTTCATAACCATTTTACCAAGTGTGCATCTCACAGCCCTGGTTTCCCTTTTCCTTTCTGCTCTGCCCTCAGAAAACCCCGTAGCCAATGTGAAGAGTTTCTGTTTCTCTTTCTGGAGCTATTTTTGTATACATACAGGCATTTCTTCCGTTTTTTGGTTTTTATTACAGATTTCTTTCCTTTTTCTTTTTTAGAATTATTTCATTTAACTTCATTTATTTATTAATTTTAATTTGACCAAAGAGGGATAGAGAGAGAAAGAGGGAAAGTGAGAAAACAAGCTACCGGGACTCAAACTGTGGTCGGCCATGTGGGAGTCCAGCACCCTTAACCACCATGCCACCTGCCGGCCCCTTGGGTGTATTTTTACTACTGATTGCTCACCAACCAGTAAGACCTTCTTCCCCTGGAGCTCACTTTTCCAGTCCACATCTTGAATGCTTGTGTTAGTCACTGTCATTACCCACTTTTATACTTAATCAGTCGAAACTTGTGTATTTGACTGTGGCTTCTCCTGTTCCAAATTATCACATATTCTGGGGATTATTTCTGAATTTCTGTGTTTTATTTTACAGAATGCCTCTCCATATGGAACATAAAATTTCAAACTCTGCAGTCTTCAAAGGAGTTACCACAAGGGACCAGTGGTCAAGTAAGTTTTTTTACTTCAAGACTTCTTCAAATTTAGTTATTTTTGTATCTGATAAATAAACAATAAGGAAAAAATAGAGATCTTTTGATAGTTACTTACTTTGGCAGGGTTTTTTTATACTTTAGGGCACATGTGCTCACTAGAGAGAAAGAGAGACAGACACAGTGAGAGGGAAAGTAAGAAATCCCTCATATGGCCACTCTACAATCTCCTCCCAGGATCTTGGGCATGTACGCACACACACCCAGCATGAGTTTCAAGCCACCGAGTCCGGGACTTAAATTACGGTTGGCCATGTGAGAGTCCAACAATGAAACCACTACACCATCTGCTGGTCCCCATATTTTGGCAATTTTTAATTAAAATAAATAAAATTACTTTTACTTGGACTGGCCCCATGACTGCCCATGATTTGAATCCTGCTTCTGGTAGCTTGGAAAATGTGCTGGGTCACATGTGTGTGTATGCCCAAAATCTCTGCAGAACGGAGAAATGGAGAGGGGGCTGTGACATCACCTCACCCCACTGGAAATGCTTTCTTCCTCCCCCTCACTGTCTCTCTTTCTGTCTCTGTACAAGTCTTCTATAGTTTTTAGAAAACTTACTGTCTCCTTGAAAGATTGTATTTAATTTGATTGTTTTAATAGTTTTCTTATGTTTATAACTTTCAAGACTCAAGTTACTTAAAGTATAACTAGTTTTAGATCAAGAGAGTTAATTAGACAGCTGTTTTGTTTTGTTTTGTTATGTTCATAGAGATTTTTATTATAGGGCACATGCACTCATTGGAGAGACAGAGAGGGAGAAATCACACATGCCCAGTGTGAGTTTTAAGCCTTCGGGTCTGACACTTGAACCAGGGTCAACCATGTGGGAGTCCGGCAACGTAGCCATTGCAGAGTCTGCTGGTCCCTACTTTTGTATTCTGAATTGTACCCTAAGGCTGTTACTTTTCTTAATCAGTCTTTTAGGTTATAGATTAAATGTCACAATAGAATTACATAGAAATGCTTACCTAAGAAGTTAAAGTTGGGCCAGCTGGTAGCCTGGTGGATATCACACAGCCCCACACAGCCTCCCAGACCCAGTTCAAGTCCCAGACCCAGCAGCTTGAGAAACACACCTGTGTCTGTATACATGGGCCCAAAATCTCAAGAGGAGATTGGAGAAGGGATTACTGCATGGCCATCCCTCCAGGAGAGTGATTTCCCGTTTTTCCTCTCTCTGGCAAGCTCACGCACTGTATAGCAAGCTTAAAAAAAAAGGAGAGAGAGAGAGAAAATTAAAGCTGAAGCTGACCAGACCCAGACTACATTTTCTGAAGCAAGGGATGTTGTCTATTTTGTATTCTTTAGTCTCGTTAGTGCCTAGTAAAGGTGCTTAACAAATATTGAATGTTTAGTGAATAAAAAGTCATGACTAATATGCAAATCAAGGCAATAGGATGTTACTAATCTTTTTTTTTTTTTTTTTTTTTTTTTGGGGATTTTTCCTTTGGGGGGCGGGCGCCCCC